ATCCACACCCCCATACTCACACACACACGCTCCCACACTCACATCCACACCCCCAAACTCACACACGCTCCCACACTCACATCCACACCCCCATATTCACACACACTCCCACACATCCACACCCCACACTCACACATGCTCCCACACTCACATCCACACTCCCATACTCACACACACACTCCCACACTCACATCCACACCCCTATACCCACACACACACACTCTCACACTCACATCCACACCCCCAAACTCACACACACACACTCCCACACTCACATCCACACCCTCATACTCACACACACACATGCTCCCACACACTGCTGCGTTAGGACATGCTGCTTTGCTTGGTGATGGCAGAGTCTCACTCTTTCCTTGCTCATCAGAGCAGCAGCTTGGGCGTAAAGGTTTTGGTGGAAGGCAGAACAGAGACGGGCTGAGCGTCTCTCACGGAGCGCCTGGGGAATGTTGTCTCTGCTCAGGGGAGTGCAGTGCCATCAGGAAGGTGCCCTGGCGATACATTCCCTCCATTCCTGTGGAACTGGATGAAACCACGTGCCCAGGAAGAACCGAAGGCGGGTTTGGCACTCACCAGCCACCTCCTGAGGGTGACGGGGTTGATGCTGAAGTCCCTGACCAGCCCCAGGTCGTGGTACATGTGCTCCAGGCAGCTCAGCATCTGTGGGCACAGGAGAAGGATGGGCACCGAGCAGTCGTGTGGCTGGCTCCCTAGCCCCTGGCTTCCCTCCCTCTGCCGTCCTCGGAGTGCCAGCAGGGCCGTTGGCAGGAGGTGGGTTCTCCCCTCCCAGAAAGTCCCTGGAGAGGGAGGAGAGGTCTTTGGACCAGCCTTTCCAGGCCACCCAGATGGGTGGGGGTTTGAGAGCATACTGGGGGTCTCCTGGTGGGTGGAGGGCCGGTTCCGAAGTCAAGGAGAATTCTAAGGAAGGAAGGATGGCGACTGGGTGAGAGAGTGCACCCGTTCAGAAAACACTGCACCAAAAAGGAATTTATTGATTTCTACGCATGGAAAACAGTCTCAGTGGATCAATATCATAGCTGAGGTTCTAGGACACAGTTCCATCCGATGCACACCTGAGCACGGGTGCTGCCATAGAGAGAAAGACCCTTTCCTTGCCCGAGGTTGGGGATCGAACAAGCTTTGACGGTTTACATCCAGAAACGCTGAACTGTGCTCATCTGGGGCCCTGCTGGGACCGGAGACACTTTAACGTCTTAACTGCAGTGCTCAGATGGAGTCCCTGCCCCAGCAACCCTTTCTCTTTTTTTTTTTTTTGAGACAGAGTCTCGCTTTGTCGCCCAGGCTGGAGTGCAGTGGCACCATCTCGGCTCACTGCAAGCTCCGCCTCCTGAGTTCACGCCATTCTCCTGCCTCAGCCTCCGAGCAGCTGGAACTACAGGCGCCCGCCACCACGCCCGGCTAATTTTTTGTATTTTTAGTAGAGACAGGGTTTCACCGTGTTAGCCAGGATGGTCTCGATCTCCTGACCT